CGGAGGCCGAGGCCAGGGGACCTTGGCTTAGCCTAGTGGCTGGTGGAGGAGTTGGGGAGAAGCCCGGGGTGGTGGGTGCGGAGCCGTTGGGAAGTCCTGGGGCTTCACTGGACGGAGGCAGAGAGCTGAGGGGGTCCGGGATCTAGCGAGCCGGGGGCGGTGGGGCGGAAGCGTACGGTCGCTCCTGCAGAAAGTTTGGGAAGGGGCCGCGGCTGCTCCCCGTCCGGGCCTTGGTCTCTCCCCACGTCCGCTCTGTTGCTGCTCGTTGGAGCTGGCACAGTCGCAGTGTGTCTGAAATGGCTCCCAGCTGCCGAGCAGAGGAAGGACCCTGGCCAGGCTGCCCGCAGGCCCCAGAGCGCAGGATGCGCCGGGGATTCGGGCCTGTCCGGGGCAGGCCGGGAGCGGCGCAGGGGGTGACTCTAGGGTAGAGCAGAGACGGCAGTGGCACCTCGCGGGAGGAGGAAGCCCAGCCCAGTGTGGGGAGACTTTGTTTTTGGCTCTCTGCCTGGTGTCATGTTGTCCGGGAGTTGATTAGTCTGCAGGAGCAGAGCGGCTGCGCTGCGCGCCCGCTGGTCTGGGGCTGGAGAAGCCTTGGGAAGTTGCTTGAAAGGGCCTGCCCGACCCCTCTGGAGCTCGGCTGGGAAGAGAGCTTCTCAGGCCACGAGGGTAGACTGGGTCTTTACAGTCAGTGTGTGAGAAACTCAGCCTGACCCTGCTGGGGACGCTCATCAACCTCCCCCCCATCCCGTTGTTTCTGGTTACCCAGATTGCTTGGGAATTGCCCCCAGCTCCCACCCCACCTTGACTTAGTCCTTAGGTTCTGAAGATGCCATATCCATGTGCCCTGGCATTTGGCAGTGGCTTCTCGCAAGAAGGAAGGAAGGAAACAAGCTTGGGTTTCCTGTTCCCTCCTGTCTCCAAGCAGAGGTCTCAGAAATGGATCCTCTTGTGCATCTTCTCTCAGGACCCCTTAGAGATGCTCACCAGAGGCACTGATTTTCCTGGCGTCCATCATCCCCCTCCCGCCCTCTAAAGAAAACAAAGGGTGTGGGTTTTGATCACCACACACCTGGTTCAGGGTCCCCAGCTGGGGCCCATCTTTTTAGTCTTCCTCTCCCCTTGGGAATTCATGGGCCAGAGGTGCTGCTGAGGGATCCCTGCAGGAATCGTCGGGGCCCTTGGTGCCACTAGCTGAGACTGGGCCCTGGAGCCTTGCTGTGGGCCTGTGGCCTGGGAAGATCTAAGGAACAGACAGGCACCTCTTCAGTATTTTCAGCTTGCAACCTACGGGAAGAGAGGCATGGAGAAAGCCCCAGAGAGGAGGACTTCACAGTGACGTGTAGGAGTGACCGTGGCAGTGGCGAGCTGGAGCTGGCTGAAGGGGTAGCCTGGGATACTAGGAGTGGGGAAGGTGGACAGACACTGAGCCTCGCTGCGTCCAGCATCTTATCCCCTGCACCCCGCTCCCATCTTGTTCCAGGAGGGGCTGTAAAGGTGGATGGGGGAGGAAGAACCCGTTTCATTTTGACTTGAGTTTGAAGAGGCTCGTGCTTGGCATCCTTCCAAACCCAATTTTTTGGCTTTTAGGAAAGGAGACTGGAGCTCTGAGAACCAAAGCGGTTCCTGTCAGAGTGTAGATGAGCTGGAGTTGATCGAGGATGTGAGGGCCCACGTTGGCCAAAAGGGTAACCTATTGAAAGGAAGGGGGTGAGGACGCCCCTCCCTGAAGACTGGCTCTAGCTGTGCGCCAGTCAAGGAGGGGCTATCAGAAACTAAACAGTAGAGGTTGCTGAGCTCATCCAGAGACTTCAAATTACTTTCTGCGTGTGGAGGGGTACCTAGCCCCCAGAAGCATGAGGGGCCCCAGCCTGGAAGCAGGGCAGAGCTTGCTCTTGGCGGAGGCAGCATCACGCCCGGCCTCCTGCCCCTGCTGCCCTGGAGCTCGGGGCGCCGGTCGCAGGCCGGTGCTGGGCTCGGGAGGGGCATGTATGTCTGCTGCAGGCTCAGGGCGCGCAGCCAGGCTCACCTAGCCCTGCTGCAGGCCTGAGCGTTCTGGACTGCCTTTTTCCTTTTTAGTTCTGGGCTGGTTTTTTCAAAAGGCAGAATTAAAACGGGTGCTTCAAAACCCAGGTGTGGAGTTGGCAAGGCCAGGAGGGACCTCAAGCACTCTAAGCAGCCTTTCCCTCTTGGGCCAAGCCTGGGCCCCTTGTGAGAGGCACAGGGAAGTCTGGAGCAGAGGCCTGGGAGGGGCCTGGAGGCCCTGCCTGCTGCCTTGTCTTGGGACTTCCTGTTGCTAGAGCACGCACCTGCCTGGGCGGGCTGGATGGTGCTGAGCCGGCCTGCTGAAGGCCCTAGTGAGTAGCTCCTGGGGACCACAGGGCTCTCACGCACATTCTGCAGGTCCCAGGGCATCTGCAGCTCTCGTCCTGCACATACGCTGCATGGAAGAACTCCAGTCCTGGCTGGCTGGGGCCTGTTACAGCTGTGGCCACACGAGTCTTTCTGTCGTCTCTGGCCATGCTTCATTGAGGCAGAGAAACAGGCTGGCTTTTGCATTTCAACAGCTCAGAAGAATCTCTTCCTGATGAGGAGAGACTTGTGGCAGAGCTCCTGAGGTCCCAGCACCCACATGTTTAACTCCACTCTTCTAAGTACTGCCTCCCACCCTCCTCCTCCTCCCTCTCCGCCCTCCCCATCCCTGCCTTGGGTCAGGTTTCCCTCCATCTCTGCATCTGGTCCCAAATTTGACCCTTTGGTGAGAACATGGGTTGGGTGTGCTGGAGGAAGTGGTGGAGAAGAATTTCATCTTCTTGGCTTAGAGGTGGGGGGTGGTCCTTTGATTTGGTCTGAGTCCCCTCCCAGTCTGACTTGGTTGGCTGGTTGTGCTGGTTGCATAATCTGGGCCCTGGGGCCAGCCCTGTGAGGCTGCCAGGGACAGTGTGTTCAAGGCAGAGCTGCCAAACAGGCCTTGCAGGCAGCAGCTATAGCAAAGGGGGGGGGGGCGCTGAAGTTTCTCCCAGAGGGGGACCTAGACCTCAGTGGGAAACCCCTGGCGGACTTCTAAAGAGACCCTTTCTGCCCCCCTCTGGCTCTGATCCATGCCTCCTAGGTAATCTTATTGCCATGCTCGAGTTTGGGGTTGTGGGGACTGCACTAAGCCTGAGCCCACCCCAGGTGGTACATGGACCACAGCAAAGTCCAGTGCCAGCTGCTCTCAGCCACAGGCCATCAGGAGCTACAGCGCCCCTCTTGGGGGTCTTCCGGCATAGGGCTAGGAGTCGGGCAGCAGGGCGGTGAGCGAAGGGTCCAGTGGTGTGATAGGGGCCATATGGTGACCAGATGGTCTCCACGCTCTGCCCGAGGCCACCCCCACCAGTTGGGACATGCTCCAGGCCCGCCTGCTGGAGCTTGCTCACCTGCGTGCCGCGCCCTGATAGGCTTGCCGGCCTACTGGCCTGTCCTCAGCCTCAGCACTGGGCCGTTCACATCCCACTCCCCCCTCCCGGTACCCCACTGGTCCCTCGGGTTGGGGGAGAAGAGAGCACATGCTGGCACCACCTGAGGGCCCCCAGAGTGCCTGGAAGCCTGCTGGTCCCAGGGAGCCAGGGCAGAGCATGCTGGGGCTGGAAGGTGGCTGTGGGCCCTGAAAAACTCCCCCAGGCCCTTCCCTCTGCTGGCAGGATTCTCCGCCCACCCTCTGGGTTCTGGCAGGCCTCATTCGCTGGCACGGCTGCCAGGGCGGTTGAAGGGGGTGGGGCAGGTGTGGTTTACACTTCTGCTCTCAGGCGCCTGCTCCCCTTTGTTCCTGCCCCTCCAGCCCAGGCTCAGCGGGCTCCACAGTGTGCTGCTCTGGGCCTGACCTGGCTGAGGAGCGGGATGGAGGGAATGGGCTATGGGCCCCGTAGGACCCTGCCGCTGACCTATGCGCCCCCATTGGCTCACTTTCCCCAGCGGCCTGGCATGTCACCTGGGAGCCGGATGCCCATGGCTGGCTTGCAGGTGGGACCCCCTGCCGGCTCCCCATTTGGCACAGCTGCTCCACTTCGGCCCGGCATGCCACCCACCATGATGGACCCATTCCGAAAGCGCCTGCTCGTGCCCCAGGCCCAGCCCCCGATGCCTGCCCAGCGCCGGGGGTAAGACCACCCTGTTTCTCCCACCCTCCCTGCTACCTAGGACAGCTCTAGTGGTAACTGGGGGTTGCCTTCTGTCCTCAGAGCTGCATGACTAAGGAACACTCCTGGTTCTCCTGGGGACCCTAGGACTATAGGGGGGTACATGGTGATGTCCTTTGGATCACTGGTTTCTGTTCTCCCCAGGTTAAAAAGGAGGAAGATGGCAGATAAGGTTCTACCTCAGCGAGTGAGTATGTTGGAGGCGGCCTGGGAGGCCTGCCCAGCGGCTGGCTGGCTGTGGGTGGATCTGGGTCTCCAGCCCTGGGATAGGGCAGGAGGAGCTAGGCTGTGGCTGAAACAAGCTGACGCACTCCTCCCATCCTCTAGATTAGGGAACTTGTCCCGGAGTCTCAGGCGTACATGGATCTCTTGGCTTTTGAGCGGAAGCTGGACCAGACCATTGCTCGCAAGCGGATGGAGATCCAGGAGGCCATCAAAAAGCCTCTGACGGTGCGTGCAGCCCCGGCCCCTCCCAGCGGCTCTGCCTCTGCCTCTGCCTCTCCCTGGCCTGCTTTCCAGGGGCTGGGCCAGGCCTGTGTTGGGTCAGAGCAAGACTTTTCACCAGGGTGCAGGCCATTATGGCATGGATCCATTTAATGTAGGGCCAGCATGTTTTTAATGAAATACAAAATGTGGCGATGATTCTACTTCAGTCACCAAGTCCTCGCTGTGGTGGTGAATGTAGTTTGTGACATGTTTGTTTAGATATTTATACATGTACTTCTGGATCCTGGCCGTGATTTAAAATGTCCATCCTTTGAATGGCGGCCCTAAGTGGGGAGAGGAGGGTGATTTGTTCCCTTCCCCATCCCTACAGGGATGAGCTTTTTTCTTCTCTCTTTTTAGAAGAATAAAGATGTAGGACAGTCCCCTGAGCAGTGGCAGCTTTCTAGTTGAGGCTATTTGGAGGTGGTGATGTGTGTGTTTTCGAGTTTCATTTTAAGATACAAGTCAGGCTTCTGGTTTGCTCGATACACCCTGCATGTGCCTGTCACGCCAATGATTCCCTCTGTTGGAATTGTCAGTGGTGCATCTGGCATCTGTGTCGTCGTCGTCCCCCGCGCTCTGCTAAAATCAAGAGAGCCTTGAAGTGGAAATTCCAGGAAGATGCCTGGCCTTTAGTGTTGATGTTGAGCGAGTCCAGGGTTTTGTGGCATTTTCCCAGCTTGTTGCTCTGCCTCTAGCTGGCTGTCTTTCTCCCTTTAGCAAAAGCGGAAATTGCGGATCTATATTTCCAACACATTCAGTCCCAGCAAGGCAGAAGGAGATGCTGCGGGAACTGCAGGGACCCCCGGGGGAACCCCCGCAGCAGACAAGGTGGCTTCCTGGGAACTGCGAGTGGAGGGCAAACTGCTGGATGATGTGAGTTGGGGAAGGACTTTTCTGGAGGGGAGGCAGGCCAAGTGGTTTAAAACTGGGCCCTTTGGGAGAAGCCTTCCCTGAGGAGAGGGTGTTGTGTACCAAGCGAGGGAGGACTGGTCTTTGTGGTTATTCCAGCAGGTTCCCTGCAGAGGGCAGCAGAGTGGCGTGAGGGGCACCCTTTGCAGTTTAGCCTGGTACTAGCTGGACGTGGGCTGGCCGCAGGGCCCTACTCTGCCTCTAGTCTCTTTTCGCTGCTTCCTCTGGGGCCCGAGAATCCTCAGTGCCCTGGCTCCAGGACTGAAGTAATTCTTTTGGGGCTTGGTGTAATAGGTTTTAGAGGTCAGTAACACTCCTACTGCGCATCCCTTCTCACCTCAGCCTAGCAAACAGAAGAGAAAGTTTTCTTCGTTCTTTAAGAGCCTAGTCATTGAGCTGGACAAGGAACTCTACGGGCCCGACAACCACCTGGTGGAGGTGAGAGTGAACCCGGGCACGGGGAAGCCAGGCTGACGTGCTGGTGACCCCATGGTGATGAACTCTGCTCCCCTCCTCTCTGCCAGTGGCATCGGATGCCCACCACCCAGGAGACAGACGGCTTCCAGGTGAAAAGACCTGGAGACCTCAATGTGAAGTGCACCCTTCTGCTCATGCTGGATCATCAGGTGACAAATGTCCTGGGGCCACAGGGGCCAGCGGGGGAGGGAAGGGGTTCCTCTCGCAAGCCCTTCTGTTCCTGCCCTACTCTGCTTTGCTTGTCCTGAGAACCCCTCCCGACTCCCTTCTCCAGCCTCCCCAGTACAAGCTGGACCCCCGGTTGGCGAGGCTGCTGGGGGTGCACACACAGACGAGAGCTGCCATCATGCAGGCCCTGTGGCTTTACATCAAACACAACCAGCTGCAGGATGGGCATGAGCGCGAGTACATCAACTGCAACCGTTACTTCCGCCAGGTCAGCCCCAAGCCGTGCCCCTCTAAGCCCGGCCCACTACTCGCAAACCCCACCTGGCCATTCTTGGTCACATTCTTCCCTGACTTGGGTGGGCCACATCCCCCTTGTGCTCCACTCACTGCAGATCTTCAGCTGTGGCCGACTCCGTTTCTCCGAGATCCCCATGAAGCTGGCGGGGTTACTGCAGCACCCAGACCCCATTGTTATCAACCACGTCATTAGGTAAGTGGAAGGGGAGGTACGGGAAGGCCCTAAATGGGAGCATTTTACCTTTGGCTTGACCTAGTCAGAAGCGGCAGGCTTGGCCCGGCGGGCAGAGTGGACCCAGCTGTGCTCACTGTCCCTGCTGTGTGCCACCTGCAGCGTGGACCCTAACGACCAGAAGAAGACGGCCTGTTATGACATCGATGTGGAGGTGGATGACCCGCTCAAGGCCCAGATGAGCAATTTCCTGGCTTCTACCACCAATCAGCAGGAGATTGCTTCCCTTGATGTCAAGGTAGGCCCCTGGCCACCTGTGTGTGGGTGGGTGGGGGGGCACTCCTGTGGGGGTGTGCAGGTTCAGAGCTATTTTCCTGTCATACTGTGGGGTCAGGGTCTGGCCCAGCCCCTTGGGTTGAGGCCTGGAGACACCCTCCAGGGATGGGCTCGCCTGACTTGTGCATTCTTCCCCCAGATCCATGAGACCATTGAGTCCATCAACCAGCTGAAGACCCAGAGGGATTTCATGCTCAGCTTCAGCACTGACCCCCAGGATTTCATCCAGGAATGGCTGCGCTCCCAGCGCCGTGACCTCAAGGTGCGGTCCTTCCCTGAGTCTGAGGCGGATCCATTTAAGCGGTGCGGGGGGGGGGGGGGGGGGGGGGGGGTCGGCGACGACTGTGCTGCAGCTTCCTCTGCTCTTGCAGATCATCACTGATGTAATTGGGAACCCTGAGGAGGAGAGGCGAGCCGCTTTCTACCACCAGCCCTGGGCCCAGGAAGCAGTGGGGAGGCACATCTTTGCCAAGGTAAGGCGGTTCTGCCGTGTGCTTCCTGTGGTTGCGAGCTGCAGAGGCCTGAGCCATTGTTCTCTCCTCTCTAGGTGCAGCAGCGAAGGCAGGAACTGGAACAGGTGCTGGGAATCCGCCTGACCTAACTGCTCAGGGATCCCTCCTCTCCCAGCCCCAGGAGCCCCCCAGCCTGAAAGGGGACCACTGTCTGGGGCCGCAGGCATGTAGGATAGGGATGGGGTGAGGGGTGTGTGTCACCCTCTGCTCCCCAGCTGTAGTTGCGTTAAGCATAGTGATAGCCCTTGTTGCTTGGTCCCCAAAGCCTTAGTACTTACTTTACACGTTGTCTTTAACTGGGTTCACATCAGTCCTTCTGCCCCCTGCAGGCAGGCCCACGGGACTGCTGGAGGCTGTGCTTTGACTTGCCCCAGAGACATTTCAGAACCAAAGGCCACTGGCTTTGCTTGTTTACAGACTCCCCCTTGGGGCAAGGGGAGCTGGGCAAGAAAGAGGGGGAGCACAGCTCCCCCTCTTCTAGCCTTTCTAAACCAAAGTTCTTTGCCATTCCTACAAACCCAGCCTCGCTGCTGGTTTTTTTCCTTTGGGTATTTGCACTATTTGGGGAGCAGATTTTTCTATGTGGGAGCCACTTTTTTTGTACGGGGGCAAGTTGGGGTCTTTCAGGGAGCCCTGTTTGGTGCCCCCTTGTTTTCTTTCCTCAATCTATGCAAGCGGCTCTAGCCGCCATCATCTCCTGGGAAGCAGAGGGCTGCTGCCCCAGCTACTTGGGCCCAGGGTGGTAAAGCCTCCTGGAGGGAGGGGATTCCAGTTTTCTGGTGTGGCTGAAGTATGGGTGTTGGTGTTTGGTGGAGGGCAGTGAAGGGAAGAGGGGGGAAGACTGTTGCCCTTTGGAGCTTGGTAAGGAGGGTGGGCCTAGGGCGTGCAAAGGTGCCACTTCTGGCAGGTTTGGAAAATTCCAAATAAATCCTTTTGTTTATTGGTGGTACCTAGACCTGGTCATTGGGCAGCGCAGCCACTCAGTAACAGACTGAAGTCCTGGAGGGCTCGTCCCGCAAAACTTTATTTGAGCAACCCACGCAGCAGTCAGCCACTTCACTTCCACAGCTTCTTAATAGACATGTTTTTCTCACTATCCTTCTGCATGACCTGTGGGAGAGGCCATAAAGTTATAATCTGGGTGAACATTCCCCATGCCCACTGCCCCGCAGCGGCGGCGGCACAGCAGAGAGGGAGTTGCTTACCTTGGCTACCGCCATCTCAAAGTCCTCCTGGGTGACGTGGACTCGCCGCTCCCGCAGCGCGTACATGCCGGCCTCAGTGCACACGCCCTGAGAGGGAGAGGACGGCGGGCGTTGGGGCTGTGTGCCTGAACCCAGTGCGCCCTGCGTCTGTGCCCCTTCCCCAGGGCACACCACTTACCTTCACTTCAGCCCCTGATGCTCCTGGCATGAGCTCAGCAATTTTTCTCAAGTTGATCCCCCTGGTCAGGTTCATTTTCCGAGAATGGATCTTCAAAATGTCCAGCCGAGCCTGGGGAGGGGGGAGGAAAAGCTTGAGCCCCACAGCCTTGCAGCACAGCCAAGCCAGCCCCAGGGCCTGCCCACCACAAACCTCCTCGTTGGGGGGTGGGAATTCAATTTTTCTGTCGATGCGCCCAGGGCGAAGCAGCGCAGAGTCCAGGATATCAATCCTATTCGTAGCCATGATCACCTGTGTGGAGACATGGAGAGGCTTCCTCAAGCTGCCTGCCATCCAGCGTCTTCCCACAGCTGCTCTCTCCCACACCGAACACGGCCTTAACCTTGATATTTTTGGTGGCCTCAAAGCCGTCCAGCTGGTTGAGTAGCTCCAGCATGGTGCGCTGCACTTCGCTGTCCCCTCCGGAGCCCCCCTCCAGCCGCGAGGAGCCGATGGAGTCAATCTCATCCATGAAGATGATCGACGGGGCGTGTTCTCGGGCCATGACAAACAGCTCCCTCACCATTCTTGCCCCTGTGCGGAGGCCAAACGGGAGTTAAGGAGCTGATGGCTCCCTGCCCTCACCCCAGCCCACCACCACTTGGTTTTCGGGTTCCTGGCTGGTTACCTTCCCCAATAAATTTCTGCACCAGTTCAGAGCCCGACACACGAATGAAAGTACAGTCCGTATGATGGGCCACAGCCCGAGCCAGCAGAGTCTTCCCAGTGCCTGGGGGTCCGTACAGCAGCACGCCCTGAAGAGAAACTGGACTCAGCCAGAAAGCCAGCTGTCTCATTTCATTCAATAAGCACTGACTTGGGGCTCATTCTAGGCAAGTTCTATGCTAGACATACCAAACGGCCTATACCCAAACCACCTCCTGCCCTGGCAACCTTCTCCCCCAGTGGGGAGGGCCGGCGTACGCAGGCGGCAGTCTATTCCCAGAGCCCACCCCAGCCTCGGGCAGGCGGCACACAGTAGCGCGTGGGCCTCCCAGGGACACTCTGCCTCTCACCTTGGGCTGTGCGATGCCCAGCGCCTCGAAGAGCTCGGGATGCTTCACAGGCAGCTCAATCACTTCTTTGATCTCTTTGATCTGCTTGTCCAGGCCACCAATCATCTCGTAAGTTGAGTCTGGCACTTTCTCCACCATCATCAGGGACACCAGGGGGTCTACCTTGTTGGGCAGGATCTTGTGCAAGGTGTAGCTGTCATTTCTTAGAGCCACCCGGCAATTGGGGGTCACCTGGGCAAGTGAGGCATTTCAGGAAAGAGTGAGGGGGGAGCTGACCCCAATCTCCCACCTCCCCCGTTACACTCACATCATTGATGTCGATGTTCTTGTCCACGTCTACGACAAACTTGCCCTCAGGATGTACCTGGGAACACAAGGGCTCATGATGACCTTCCCTGACAGCCACAAAATCCCAAGCTCCCACAATCCCCAGAAAGACCCTTAAGCCCCAGAGCACCATGACAGAACAGTGTTCTCACAGGCTGGACACAAGAGGACACCTGTACCTTAACCAACACTTTCTTCTTGTCCATGGCCCGGACCACTTCCCCCACGTAGGAGCCCTGCTCCTGCAGCAGCTGTAGCTCCTCCCGCAACAGGCGAACTAGATGGCGAACAGACGTCATGGTCACCCCGGCTCTGGTGCGTCCTCACTCCTCCCACCCCCCATTCAATATCCATGAACTAAATGCCACTTTCAAAAAAATGGCCACAGAAGTAAAAATTGATGCCTTTAAGGTTACAATAAGCCTTAGGACCATGTAAACATGACCTTGGACTGGAATAAATAGTACCACTATGAAGTCCACCCTAGGGAGAGCTCAACAATCAGACCTCAAAGTGCCTCCCTGCAGCCTTGCCATCCCTCTGCCTCACCTTTTGCATTAAGTTCATTCCTTTGTGCCTGCAATCTCCGGAGATTCTGGCTCTTATCATTCACAATCAGCTGCAGAGAACGGGAGAAAACAGAAAACAGGACCTTCGTTAAGACCAGAAGTATGAGCCGAGAGAAGGAATGACACAGGGAACCTGTATGTTGCTTCAGATGCTCAAATATGACCCCAATGACCATGCCTTGTTCTCCAGAAGTCCCTGTGGAGTGTGGGACAGCTCTCTGATCAGGTGGGTCAGAACAATAAATCCTAAGGGAAAACTTACTACAGACTCGTGTCGTCCATTATAAACAGTAAGATGGCATTGTAGGAAAATGTTCGAGTCAAAAACCCTAAATTCTAGGACCCTCCCTGGTAGCATAAAGGGTTAAAGCACAGCACTATGAAGCGATTGGCAGATTGGCAGCCACTGCAACACTCCCAGCATGAGTTCGTTCCCTGGCCAAGGAGGTAACCCACATGGCACAGCAGATATTTCCAGTCTTGTCCACTGCTCCTCTCAGCAATGTACTTCAGGCAGTGTCTGCTGCCTGACTCTTCTGTTCCCCACTCTGTCTCTGGTGAATCCTCTCACATCCCCTGCAGCACCTCTGGCCTATACCCCAGTTCTTGGGTAAACAACTAAAAAGATGTTTAACAAAAACAAAACAAAAACCCAAAGCCAAAACAACAGCCTAAATTCTAGCCCCACTACCACCATAACCGGCTAGGGAATGCTGAAAAGTAACGGACGCGTCTAGCTCGCTCATCAAAATGCAGGTGGGTGTAGCATTCCCTACCCTGCCCCGTTCCTTTCGTTCATTATGAGAAACAAATGAAATCGCCCGTGAAACATTTCAAAAACGGCAAGCCACCTACAATACCTGCAACTATAGCTGGATTTTATGCAATTTCCTCACCGCTTTCCTCACCAATTTAATCTCCCGTATTTCTGACCCCTGCTCTCTAGGCTAGAATATGGAGCTGCTTTCCATTCAGTTGTACAGAGTCAGTGTGGTCCAGATTCTTCCATTCTGTCTCACACTCTCACTGCTAAATCTCACACACTGAGTCCACGCATTCCCTTTTATAAGAAGCCCTCCGGTTCAGGATTCTTCCAAAAAGCCTTTGGCTAGGGGAACGTTTTTGGTTAAAATTTGACCCTTGAAAAAAACAAACCGCTAATGCTGATTAACTACAGAGAACCAAATGTTAACTTACACAATCAGTTCTCTACTAATGATATGAACACTATTCTGAACACTAGAAAGAAAGGAATAAACTTTGCCCACTACACCTCCATGAGAATTACGAGGGTTGCAGAAATCCCCTCCACCGTCCTCACCTGGAGTTCTTCAATCTTGGACAGATAGTACTGGCGGAGTCCACTGCCTGCCTTTCCCTCTTCCAGCTCCATCTTAAAAAGACACGGCGTAATCATTAAATAACAGGCTGGACTTCCAAGCGACCAAGCCCTCCCGCTCGGAATTGAGAGGCTTTAAGGTCTGAGTTCCAACCCTCACTCCATCTCAGACCCTTCCTTGCCAAGCCATGACTGGACTAAACGCGGAGAGGACCCCTCCTACCTCCCGAGTCTTCCAGAGACAATGCACAAGGAAGCGCTCTGTATGGACTCAGCGCCGTCGAGCCCCGAGGAGTGAGCAGCACAGGCGGCCAGGAGACCGAACCGGCGCCGGCCTCCCGCGACCCCGGCGCGTCACTCCCGCGCCCTCCGCTCCTGCGCTCCTCCCCGCCTCCCTCCCGGCCAAGCTCTGACCCGCAGGGGGCGGCGCTGACACAGCAGATCCGGTTCCAGGCAGGTCCAGGCTCCGCTGGCTAACTCAGCCCCGATCCACCAGCCCCGCCTGCCCGCGCCGGCGGCCGCCTCGGGTCGGGTCCGCTCCGCGCGCAGCCCAGGTCCCCGCCGGCCGCCCCCGGCGCCTTACCTGCTCTGGCCCGTCCAGCGCCATCTTCCCTCTTGAGCGGAGACCGCCGGCATCCGAGCCGCTCGGACGCGCAGGCGCAGAAGCGGCGGCCGGCAGCCACCGGCGAAGGGTTCCGGGTCAAGGGGCGGGACGCCGACAAGCTGGGGTCCCCGGGGGCGGGGGCTGCGACGGCGCGGGAGCCTTGCGCACAGAATTCGGCTTGGCTAACTAAAGAAGAGTTTAGTTAAAGTATCTCCCCTCCTGACCCAACTTCCAACTTCCAAGATCGGGAGGAGAGGATGGAAGAAAAAAAAAAAAGTAGCCACGCTCAAAATGGCGGAAAACTTGAAGCCGGGGACGCAAGCAGCGGAAGCGGAAGCGCGAGCGCGTTTGCGGCTTCCATGTGCAGCTCCTAGTGTGGAGAACGGCGCCGGCTGCGAGCGGGCGGCGTGGGGCCTGCCGGTGTGCTAGTGCTGGCACCCGGGAGACGGAGAGCGGAATCCCGCGCTCTGGGCAGAGATCCCCACCTTCTGCCTTCTCCTCCGGCTGAGTGACTCTCCCCCTCCGCCATGGGCAAGAAGGGCAAAGTCGGGAAGAGCCGGCGGGACAAATTCTACCACTTGGCGAAGGAGACCGGTGAGTCCGCCCCGCCAGCGAGCGAACGCCGCTCACCCGACGCCCCTCCGCCACAGCGGGGTGGGCTTTCAGATCGCGGAGTTCTCCGGGGACTTCATTGTTTCGTCGCCGCCCCCAGGTTATCGTTCCCGCTCTGCTTTCAAGCTGATCCAGCTCAATCGCCGCTTTCAGTTCCTGCAGAAAGCCCGAGCCTTGTTGGACCTGTGTGCAGCCCCAGGGGGATGGTGCGTAACCCGTGGCCGGGGCCGCTGCGGTGGCGGCCGGATGGGCCGTGGAGAGGGGGCGTGCAGCGGTACCGGCCATCTGTCGTTCTGTTCCCTAGAACGCAGTTTCACCTAAAGCTTGGGTGCCGTTTCCTTCCTTCAGTATGGGGAAAGGCGTGAAATGCTTCCTGGGACGTGTGCTGGTGACTGCGCTCTGCAGGCAGAACTGTCATGGGGCTGAAAGAGCGTCTTCCCTCGGGACTTGGGACAGCCCCTGGTGTCTGATTGTCTGTTCTTTCACAGGCTGCAGGTGGCTGCCAAGTTTATGCCTGTGTCCAGCCTCATTGTGGGTAAGTGGTTGGTGGGTCTTCTTGGTATGTTAGGGCGTTGGGAGTGTGAGCGACTGACTGTTGGGTTATTGCTTCCTTCCTGCAGGATGCAGCCTTCTGAAATACTCTCCCTTGATTTCTTCCAGGAGTGGACCTGGTTCCCATCAAGCCCCTTCCCAATGTGGTAACACTCCAGGAGGACATCACGACAGAGCGTTGTAGGCAGGTAATTGGAGCCCTTTTTTTTCGGTTTTATATGCAAATACCCACGTACTTGCTTCTCATCCAAGTGCTCTCAGACAAGGTTTGTCCTGTGTGCTGTGCCTTTAGCCATGCCTGTGTGATGGCTCTAATATTCGTAGTATCCACCTTAACCTTGATTAGGGTCAGGAGTGAGGTGTTTGATGTTGGCATAGGCATCTTTAATGAAATCCTTTGTAGTGGATAAAATCTAGGCAGCTACGCTCCATGACGATAGAGAAGTGTTATTTTCCATTCCACCCCCCGTGCCTGGGCTTTGGCCCCTGGTAAGCACGAGATGATTAAGGTGGACAGGTGGCTGACCAGGGAATCCCTTGTTTGCCATTCCTGTTTCTTTTGCTCCAATCCCTTTACTTCTCTGTAGGCCCTGAGGAAGGAGCTGAAGACCTGGAAAGTTGATGTTGTGCTCAATGATGGGGCACCCAATGTCGGGGCAAGCTGGGTTCATGATGCTTACTCTCAAGGTGCCAGGAGTGGGGGGCATCGAGATGAGGGTGGGGGTGGGCTTACCTTCTCAGGTTGCAGAGACCCTCACCTGTTGCTCTCCCACAGCCCATTTGACACTGATGGCTCTGCGTCTGGCCTGTGATTTTCTGGCCCGCGGTGGCTGCTTCATCACAAAGGTGTTCCGTTCCCGTGACTATCAGCCCCTGCTGTGGATCTTTCAGCAGTTGTTCCACCGCGTCCAGGCCACCAAGCCCCAAGCTTCTCGCCATGAATCTGCAGAGATCTTTGTCATCTGTCAGGGTGAGTCTCTCTCCTTTCTGCGCCAGTCTGCAACTACCAAAGCATGTGTCCTCACACAGCCTGTTGTCTTAGGATTCCTGGCCCCTGACAAGGTCGACAGTAAATTCTTTGACCCTAAGTTTGCCTTCAAGGAGGTTGAAGTTCAGGCCAAGACTGTTACTGAGCTGGTCACTAAGAAGAAGCCGAAGGTATGCTTAGGGAATAGTGCGCCCCTTGTGTTCTGAAGCTTTGGGGAAGTTGGCCTGGGGGGTCCTGTAGACATCCCCAGAAGGGACTGCTCCACTTTATTTTCCTTCTTAAGGCTGAAGGCTATGCCGAGGGTGATCTCACACTTTATCACCGTACCTCAGTTACTGACTTCCTCCGAGCTGCCAACCCTGTTGACTTTCTCTCCAAAGCCAGTGAGGTGAGCCTTCAGATTTGATGGTTATAAGGATGTCCCAGGAACATGGCTCGAAACTCTCCCCTTACACCTTTTCCTCCTCCTAAGATCTCGCTGGATGATGAAGAGTTGGCACAGCATCCAGCTACCACTGAGGACATACGTTCATGCTGTCAGGACATCAAAGTGCTTGGCCGTAAGGAGCTTAGGTACGCTGTGGGGTTGGGGGTCAGAGTGGAGGTGGGTACACCAGGAGCCCCAATGAAGGGAAAGGCCTCTGAAGGCCATGATGCTGGGGGAGGCGTTTGATCCCTGGGATTTACATACATCTAAGATTTGGGGTGTGGACCTGAAACAGGGAGATGGTCATGCCAGTAATGGTATTCCCGGCATAGGTCCCTACTGAACTGGAGAACCAAGCTTCGGCGCTATGTGGCCAAGAAGCTGAAAGAGCAAGCAAAAGCGCTGGATATCAGGTGAGGAAGGAACTAAACCAGGGAAGTGTTGCTGATGTTGGGGAAGTGCCTGGGAAAATAATCTGGGATCTTCTTGGACTTTGCTGCCAGCCTTAGCTCGGGAGAGGAGGAGGGTGATGAGTCAACAACCACAATGCAGCTCTCTAAGGAGGAGGAGGAGGAGGAACAACTGAATCGAACTCTTGCAGAGATGAAGGCCCAGGAGGTGGCAGAACTAAAGAGGTGAGGGAAGCTGGGGAGGAATATGGGGACCCCTGCCAGAGTTACTAAGTGTGTGAAAGTGGAGTGGGGAAGACAGAGAGAGGAAACCTCGTGCTTTTATTTCTCCACCTACACTTTAGGAAGAAAAAGAAACTTCTGCGGGAGCAGAGAAAGCAGAGGGAGCGCGTGGAGCTGAAGATGGATCTGCCTGGGGTTTCCATTGCAGATGAAGGGGAGACTGGCATGTTCTCCCTGCGCACCATCCGTGGTCACCAGGTGAGGTGGGGTTGGGGCACATTGAGGATAGTGGATCTGCTGGGGTCAGGCTGTGGAGTGTGATGGTAGTTGTGGTTGTGGTCTTCAACCGTGAGGGATTTGGCAAGGGGGGATTGGGAAAACAGGAGCCTCGCATCTCAAGACCAGAGGGAACATACGCTAAAATGATGAAATTAGGAAGATTTAAGGCAATGGTATCATCTTACTGTTTTGTGACTAGAAGGCACACTGCAGGAAGCAAAGGCCTTCGCTTGGGGTTATCGACATGTGTGATGGTGTCCCCGTCACTGCTAAATACTGGAGAACTTTCTTTTCCTGAACAAAGCAGTGTCACAAGCCAGTCAAGCCTCTGTGTGGCACAGAGCAGCCGGGCATCTTTGCTGTGCAGGAAGGCAGGAGAGCATAGGGCCATGGTGCAGCCTGCCACTTAGGCTGGGCCTCAGGTTCCATCCGCAAGGCAGCGCAGTCCCTGCCTCCTAGCGTTCTGTGAGGAGAAAGACAAGCAAGTGTAATCCCTGGTAGATAACGAGCTCTTAAGAAATAGCAAGACTGTCTTCGCCAAGAGAAAACAGACTTGGAAGCTGATGGTTTCTGAGCGCAACAGTTCTTCCTATTCAATGTACATTGTGGGGGAACACACACAGTGGGAACAAAACGGAGATAGTATCCTCAAAGGGATGAGGTAGCTTCTGAGTCGTTTTCAGAGAAAAATGATGGGTTAGAACCTTTTAGGATTTTTTGACACTTTCTAGACCATGGGATACTTTTCCATAAACCTGTTCTGCTACCACTGAAGACGAGGCAGCTGAGTGGGACAGATCAGGGACCAGGCCTACGAGGGGTATTTAGAAACAGCCCTATGTTGTTCACCTGTAAAAGGAGGTAGTTTACTTGTTACAGTGTATTTCCTAGTGTTGCTGACCACAGACTAAGGTAACGGATACAGGAAAAACGAAGATTCCTCTTAAGTGCTTCTGGATCTGTTTTTCTGTCAAAATTCAGCTGTTAGAGGAGGTGACACAAGGGGACATGCGTGCTGCAGACACGTTTCTGTCTGATCTGCCGAGAGACGACATCTATGTGTCCGATGCTGAGGATGATACTGATGCATCTCTGGATAGCGACCTGGATTCAGAGGAGCTGGCGGGAGTTGGAGGACCTCAGAGCCTGACGCGCCAAAAGCGGTAACGGGAGTATGGTGCAGGGGTGCTGACTCAGCTTGAGTCCTGGAGCAGAGCTGGGGGGGGAGCGGTGGGGGCAAGTCCTCCAGGACACTGACCCCCCCTTTCCTGGGGCCTACAGTGTACAGTTTGCTGAAGCAGATGACGATAAAACAGAGGAGGAAGAGAATCCCCTGCTGGTGCCCCTGGAGGAAAAGGCAGCGCTGCAGGAAGAGCAGGCCAGCCTGTGGTTCTCAAAGGTAACGACAGGCCCAGACAGGCAGGGAAGCGGCATTCCCTGGATGAAGGTGGCTCAAGGTTCTCGCTTCTGCAGGGTGGCTTCAGTGGGATTGAGGATGACGCAGACGAGGCCCTGGAGATCAGCCAGGCCCAGCTGCTGCACAAGAGCCGTCGGAAGGGGCAGCCACAGCCGCCATCACTGCCGCAGACTTCCAGTGTGAAGGTTAAACCTCCCTTGCGCTCAGAAGAGGCCACTAAGCGGGCAGAGTCTCCTTCAGGGACAGGGGCTAGCACTGGCGTTGGAGGGGAAGAAAGAGATGACAGCTCAGACAGTGACAGCAGCAGCAGTGAGGATGAAAACTGGTGAGTGGCTGCAGCAGATGGTGAAGGGATGAAGAGGAAGTGTAGACAGGGGCTTCCAAAGAACTGATGATTTTGCTCGAGGGCGTGTGCAGTATAGCCCCGGCCGCAGATTCCTGGAACTTCCCCAAGCAGCTCAATGGGAATCAGGGCCGAGGAGCAGCAGCAGTGGGCCTGAGCAGCACATACACCCCTCCCTTCTCCACAGCCGGGACACACAGCGGGGCAAGAAGCGAAGCCGGGGACCTCAATCAGATGCCGATGCTGGGTTTGAGATCGTGCCTATCGAGGATCCAGGTGAGAGTGGTGCCCCTAGTGGGGTGAGGGGAGGCAGCAAAAGTCTGTGTTAGTAGCTGAGATTTGATTTTCCTCCACATTAGCGAAACACCGAATACTGGACCCTGAAGGTCTTGCTCTAGGCGCTGTTATTGCCTCTTCAAAAAAGGCTAAGAGAGACCTCATAGATAATTCCTTCAGCAGGTAAGGGAGCCACGAAATCCTGAGACGTGGCCCAGAGTGGGAGGGAATGTGGCTGACTTCTGTCGAGCGCCTGGAGTGGCTGTGGACCTAGCTCGAGAGATTGACAAATGCTCTGACTAGGTACACTGCTCTGACTAGGTACACGTTTAATGAGGACGAGGGGGAGCTTCCAGAGTGGTTTGTGCAGGAGGAAAAGCAGCACAGGATACGGCAGCTACCTATCGACAAGAAGGAAGTGGAGCATTACCGCAAACGCTGGCGGGAAATCAACGCACGTCCCATCAAGAAAGTGGCTGAGGCGAAGGCCAGAAAGAAACGGAGGGTAAACAGTGGGGATGTTTGCGATTAGGGGTGGGTGGGACTGGGGTGGGGAAGACGGCCTCCTGATGGGAGGTTCCCAAACAGATGCTGAAGAAGCTGGAGCAAACCAAGAAGAAGGCAGAAGCTGTGGTGAACACTGTGGACATCTCGGAGCGAGAGAAAGTGGCACAGCTTCGGAGGTAAGGGGGGAGGACACCCATCAAGGAACGTGGGTTAGGAAGGGTGGCAGAAAGGCTCTCACCTTTCTTTTCCATTACAGTCTATACAAGAAGGCTGGACTTGGCAGGGAAAAGCGCCAAGTGACTTACGTTGTAGCCAAAAGAGGCGTGGGCCGCAAAGTGCGGCGGCCTGCTGGGGTCAGAGGTCATTTTAAGGTGGTGGACTCAAGGATGAAGAAGGACCAAAGAGCCCAGCAGCGGAAGGAGCAGAAGAAAAAACATAAGCGGAAGTGAGCAGACTGCCCAGGCCAGGCCCTGATGGGAAGACAGCCTAGCAGGAGCAGCGACTCAACTGCTTCTCAGCCTTCCCCTTGCTTGCAGCCGGAGAGGACAGTGAGAGGAGCTGCCCAGGACACTTCTCGGGGGTCCCAAGTGTGGTGAGGGAGGACACCCTCCTCCTGTCACCACAGTGCTGGGTAGACACCTGTGAGGAGCAGGCACCGCTGCAGCCCCCCACCCTGGGAAGGACGATGCACTACTGGATGAAAAAATGCCTCTTCACAATCATAGTGGGCAAATTCAGCTCTGGGGTAGCATTCATTAGTCTATTTTGGGGCAGATGGGGCTCTCAAATTTCCCTCTATTATTACCTAAATAAAACCAGGATGATGTCTTTTCTGATCATTTAGTTCCCACAGAGTCACAGCAGGGGTTGGTTATACCGTCCTAAGTCCTACATTTAATATGTGCATGATCAAGTAGAAATGACGGACAAGCCACAGGTCCCAGTAGTAAAACGTTTACTAGAGCAAGCAGAAAGGAATGCACATTTTAAAGAAACCTTCACAAAGTCACAAAATGCAAAGTATGTATATTTCTTTTCCTTTTATAAACAACAAAAATCAATCATTTCAGCAAAAGATTTTTCTACCGTTGTGGCAAGTTAAAAAAAAAATACAGTGAAATCTGAGAAGACACTTAAAAAGCTGTCATTGGGTTTGTTTTTAAAGTCAGTGACACGTCGCACCTAGGGAACCCTGAACTGTCTCCAGGGTTACCTTTTCCCTTTCAAGCGTGGCTGGGGCCCGACCCCCGCTGCCTGTCTCAGGGCTGGATGCGCCTGCTGGAATCTGGGCCTTGATGCCCGCCCCAGCAGACCCGCCCTCCCCAGCAAGTGTCTGGAAGCACAGAAGTGCGTCCCACACATCCCTGACACCTTCATGGATTCGGTTTGCAGAAGCCAACTGGTAAAAAAAAAGGACTGCCTGGCCACACAGCTAAGAAAAAGAATTTTATCTGTAGATGTTTACAAGGTGACATTTTAGTAAAAAATATATGCTACATATAGTATAAACCTAGAGTGAGTTTGTGCCCCTTATTAAGGCCCTTCTAAGGTGTCCTCCATTGACCCTCAGGACAACTCACCCAGAGCCCAAACTCCCAGTTTTCATTGCTTCCAAGGACCAAGCAGTTTCCCAAGAAAACATCTGAAAAGTGATCCAGATGAAGGAGTAACGTCTGCAAGCTCCAGCTATCCACTAAGGGCAGGGGGTCCACACATCTTAGGCCCCAACCCAGCCCTGAGACATCTAGTTACCAAAATCTTTCTAAAAATAAAATTAAAGACAATCAGTTTCACACTTCACATACCCTCTAACTGTCCCATCGGCTTTTCTTACGTTTGGGGGGCTCGGGGACAGCAAAGCCATCAGCTGTCTTATCTGTCTTGCCGTCCACCTTGGGGTCCATCTTGCTGCCGTCCACCTTGGGGTCCATCTTGCTCTCACGATTACAACCTTCTTTCCTGCTCTCACCATTTCGGCCATCAGTTGTGCCTCGGCCCTCTACGTGTCGGCCAACGCCGCCACCGCCGCCGCAGCCGCCGCCGCCGCCGCTACCACTGCCGCCACCGCCACCTCCGTGCCTGTTCTCCCCGTGCCGGTGGCCTTCAGCATGACGATTGCTGCTCTCCGGGTAGCGGTATCCGTCTCCATGGCGACCCCCGTCTCCATGTCGTGGGCTATCACCGTGCCGATTGCCGCTTTCTCCGTGACTGTGGCGGCTGCCACCCCGGTTCTCAGCGTATCTCTCTCGCTTCCCATTGCCACCCCCAATCCCTTCCCGGCTGTTACTCCCTGAAGCAGTGTTGTTCGCTCCCTGGGCTCCGGGAGGAGGGTATGTCACGGGGGCACTGCTGAGGTTCCCAGGGTTGCTGCAGCCGGGGACGCCCTTGGGAGCACTGGCCACTGGGCCGTCAGGGCCGGCATGGCCCTGCTGGGCAGAATTAGTTGGGACAGAATTCAAGCTTCCTGCACTAGTCCATCCACTTGCCCCAGCAGCAGAGCTTCCAGCCTTCTGATTGCTTAAGCTGGCGGCAACAAAGTGACTCTTGTACTGTGACTGAAAGAGAAAGCCAACAGGAATTGGTAAAGTGGCAGTTTTGGAAGACCTGACTACCTTGGCACTTTGATGTGAACATCCGATGGTCCCGCAATCCTGGGCTTGTGTGTTCCTCTACTGACAAAACCACCCTGGGACCAAACTGCTCTATCAATGTGGAGATGTGGAGACGTACAGTAAATTAATGTCCAAGTTACCAGGATGCAATGAGCTGACTGCACGGGGCATGTGTAGAAGACAGATTTAGGGTTAACGAGAGAATCAAGCTCTCCATCATAAAGCAGGAAACTGTTCTCCACCAGATTATGAAAGCTGTGGAGGTGGGGACACTCCAGGACACTGAGGGCCAGGAGGGACACGCACCCCACTGCAGTCCAACAGACGCCGGCTCTGCCTGAAGGTGACTGCTACCCGCAGCACTGGGAAGACCCTGAATCCAGCAGCAAACCTGTAAGCCCAGCCACCACCTTAAAAGGTTAAGGCCCTCCGGTCGCTGCCCAAGCACCGCTGGGGAAAGTTCTAGCTAAATACTTGTTTCTGACCTGAAAAGCTGCTTTCATTGCTGTCAGTCGATCTCCCATTGCTCCTGTGGAGGGTTTGTAGGCCTCGTAATTGCTCATGACATTGTTGTTATTTCCTCGGTCCTAAAGAATAAGCAGCCATGAGGAAGGAAGAACAGAGGAAAGCACAGACCAGGCTTGACCATGATGGAAATCCTGAAATGTGCCTATTTTTAGAAGCCTACTGTTTTGTAGAAAACACAGTAAAGAAGAATTTTAAAATGCTGTGCCAGGAACTGTTTCTGGAAACAGACCTTTCAATCACAAATGTGCCAGATCATACCCAAAGCTTATCACACAAACATGTAAAAATTAGGTAAAAAATGAAACAGCTGGGTGACTTGGTGATGGGAAACCCACGGGGATTACAACTGAGATTAAAAAATGTACAAAATGATGTAAAAATAAACTTACTAAAAAAAAAAAAAAAACGGCTAAGAGGTAGGTTCACAAGCACAACTACTCAGGCTCTGAAAATCAGCTTCCACACTGACAGCACACAAGCCTCAGACACCTGCATCAGTATCTTTACTACTTGCACAGAGGCTGTAAAAATCAAGCTATTTAGTGTGACTGATGGAGTTACCAGTACTAGCCATTGTCATCTGCCATCATCCACAGCATCTTCACCATTATTATATGTGGGATCAGATCCTTTTATCAAAGACACCAAGATAAATATATTGCTCCAGAAATGTAGACTGGCAGCTTACTCTCTTGGCTGAGGAAACTGGCATTTGAAAAAGCCAGTGAGGGGAGGTGTGTGAGAAAAGTTCTCATCTCTCTGATAAAATTTTCCAAAGAATGCAGGAATCATTCCTGAACACCAATGTAAGAAAAAGAATTTATAGGCTGAGGGGCCTCCCTGGTTGTGCAAAGGGTAAAGTCTAGCACAATGAAACTTGCTGAGTTTGATCCCCGCCCCAGAGCTGACCCACAAGGCACAGCAGACCTCTCTTGTCTTGCACGCTTCTCCCCTCAGCAGTGCATTTCAGTCAGTCTGCCTGTTCTGCTCCCCACTCCACCACATAACTTTGGGCTATACCCCAGCTTTTGTATGCATAAATAAGTAAACCTTTAAATAAATAAAACAAAGAATTTTCAGGTTGAGTCTATGGCAATGTCTACCTAGCAGTAGGTTCTAGGCCAGTTGCAGAGATGGTGGGGTCCCGCCTCTAGTTTGATTCCCCGGGAATGGGGAGCGGTGGAGCAAAGACACGAGTCTGCATCTGCCCCTGACTGCGGTGACACATTTTGAGAGCCACACTAAGCTAGCATGCCTGTCTCGCCAGCCAAGTACACACAGGTGCCTTCAGGACAGTCGTACCATTTGAGAATCAGCATCATATTGACTCAAATCACAGTGAACAAGATCCCTTCCAGATGGGTTCTGAACTTAATGAGGCTTTCTAGTAAGTGGCAACAGTCCTAGAACATCATCCATGACTGAGGACCAGCCACTCGAAGACGCCACTGGACTCACCGTGTTCTCAGAGCCTAGGCCAGGGCGCTCCCTGTAGCCTAGGCCTCCTCCACCGATGTTCAACTTTTTGCCTTTCCCTCCTTTAAAGCGGGATTTCCGAAACCAGGCATTCTGCAATGAACAAAACTACAGTTACGCCAAGGGATGTGTGTGGGGGATTTCAGAAGAAGTGAACAAGATCAAAGGAAAACTTAAAATAAGAGAGAGAAAAGTGGAAGAATAAAAAGAGGTAGAAATCATTTCTTGCTTCATCTTTAGCCAGTATATTTATGGCAAGAAGGTATTAGTCACAGCAACCACAGATCAGCTTGTAGCTTAATGCACCAAATTTGTTAGGAGGTTCAGAGCCGTGTCTACTACTCCTTTCTTCAAGGCCTCCAGGAAAGGAAGCGATTAGATAGGCTCCAAAGGCAGAACACTTACAACTGGCTACTTCTAACTTCCTTGAGAAAAGTGAATTTATTTTCGACTTCACAATCTATAGTACCCCTGGACATAAAAAATTGAAGTTTTTAAAGAATTGTTGGATTCAAATGTAAAGGAAAAGCGCTGTGAAATAAGGTATGTAAGAAGTGATTCTAAGGGCACCCCATGATTGGCAGCCACACCCCTGAACATTTTACATACTCAGAACCTAAACACTTCCACTGCCAGAAAACTACTAAAAGATTTATTCACATTCTCTGCAGAATGCAAACATCTCTGGGGTGATTAAAGCTTCATCTGTCAACCACATTCCAGTCAAAGTAAAGTACTGGAGGCAGCGCAGCTTGGGAAAGGTGCTGACCGCAACTGGAGGGCAGAGGACGCCCCGGCACAGAAACAGGTCTAAGGAAACACCCAGGATGTACCCGCAGACATTTAGGGTGAGCGCTCTGTGCCAGGAAGGGGAAGGGAATAGTCTCCTTTCTCCACTGCAGCTCTTTACTCAGCTTGAGGTATGGACAGCACAAGCACACTAAGGGCGACCAAACAGTTCTGTGGACTGGCCCATGAATTTGAGAGGTGTATTAAGCCTCTACTTTCAGGATGTAGATCCTGAAAGCCACTATAATCTGGGGACTGCAACTAAAATGACCCAAGATTTTACTCAGGAGACTGCCTAGGTGTTAAGTTGGAGCACACGCCCTCACTAGAGGGTATGAGTGTATTCAGAGGTCTGAGTTGTAAGTTTACGAGATAGCTAAACACACTGCTTTCAACACACATGTTGCTGAAGAGAAAAAAACCAACCAGATGAATTTTAATGTCATACAACACCAATCAATATGTACCACATAGTACTACTCTACTTCCAACTTTTCTTGTCAATTTTCTACATTACCTGTCTCAGGTGTGTTCAATTTTTTCACCTTGTTTTACAACCTGGAAAATATGAAGGGTGGCCCACCCCTCACCTGCATCGCCAGATCAAGGAGTTCCTTGGAAACATGCTGATTGGCTCCTTCCAAGTTCCGGACAAGGTCACCAGCAAAATTGCTGTCCTTGGGAGTCAGCAAGGTATAGGCCACACCCTTCTCGCCTGCTCGCCCCGTGCGGCCAATCCTGTGAGTGTGGGTGTCAATGTCTCGTGCCACATCATAGTTAATGACAGTTTTAATGGAAGGAATGTCCAGACCACGAGCTAAAATAAAAAACCAAATTCTTATTCTTCAATAGGAATCAAAGACCAACTAACCCAAAATGCTAATAACCATGTAGGAACCCACATTCCTCTTACCTCGGCAATATAAGCTGAAGTTTAATGAATTGAGATATAGGTAAATAAATCACCATTCTAGAACAACTGCCATTATTGTTGATTCTATGACTCTGGACTGCCTAGTGTAAAAGACATGGTCTTCTCACCATCTACATACAACTTGCCATCGTCCCGCTCTTGTATTAAGTATATATAGAAAAATTAGGGCCTCCCTGGTGGTGCAAGAGTTAAAGCACAGCACTATGAAGCTATCTGTAGCCACTGCAGCACAATATTGACCCCAGCCAGGGAGCAGACCCACACTGCACAGCAGATCTCCCGTGTCTCATCCACTGCTCCCCTCAGCAGTGTATTTTAGTCAATTTGCCCATTCTGCTCCCCACTCTGTCTCTGGTAAATTCTCTCAATGTCCCCCCAGCCCCTGCCTGTGCCTCTGGCCTACACCACAGTTCTTGTATGCATAAATCAATAAATCTTAAAAGAATATATAAATAGAAAAATTAAAACTAGAATCAAATGTACTTTGAACAATGAGACTTAACCTTCTGTGAGAAAGCATTAGTTTTTAAGAGTAGCTATTAAAACTCAGCAAAGGTAAAAATCGTGCTCTAAGCAATTTCCTAATCTTGAATGAAGTATATTCAGTGTCATCAATGCAATCTATCTCCTGTAGCTGGACATAATGGCACATCCTAAGATGTGTAACTGCCTCAATCATTTTTCCCAAGTTACTTCCAATTGCAGGGACTCTTTGTTCAGAGAGAAATATTATGTGACAAGAGATTCCCAGGGCTTCAGCCTTCAGCAAGTTGCCCAGTAAATCGGCCTGCTCAGACTTTGTATGTCTCAGACAGTTACACCAAGTTTCCTTGTAGCGCAGGAACCAGAGATTACTGGGGAGATTCATACTCTACCTGCAACATCCGTAGCCACCAGAACCGGGATGTCCTTTTTTTTAAAATCTGAAATGACCTTGTTTCTTTCACTCTGATCCATGTCTCCATGGAGCAGCCCAAGGTTATGACCCTCTTGCTTCAGGTTATTGGCTAGCTCTTCAGCATTGGCTTTTTTAGTAACAAACAGAAGGACACTCCCTGAAGAGGTAAACTCCACCAGACGCCGGGTAAGCCAGTTCCATTTACTAGGCCCAGAGTGGAGAATCTCCACAATTTGTGTCACATCTTCATTTGCCTATAAATACAAACAGCTAATTTTAATACCAGTACCACGAGGCATCTGAACAAGAACCAGGCATCACATTTTCATCCTGCATCTAGGAGAACCTCCGACAACTCCTCTCCTCCGTAGGCCCACCTTCCTCAGCTTCAAAGAGTTCAAAACTTAATGTCCTTTCTCAAAGCTCTGTGTCCCCTCCTCTCCTCGTGTGCACACTACCTAGCCAATTTGTAAGCCTGGACACTTGCAATATTGTGTGTATAGCTACTCAGATTATTCTTAATAAAGTAAGCTCCCTTCCCAGTACAATTCAAACATGGACATGGAAGACAAAGAACAATGTTAAATGTAATTACACAGCTTTTTAATAATAAACATGGCAAAAAACTTGATGAGTTTTCCGGGAAGCTGTAATTCCAAACCTGGATTCAGAGAACGCCCACAGGGTGCACGTGCACAGGGAAGGGCAAGAGTGGGCTTAGTTCCGTTCGCCAAGCCTTTCAAGTCACCCCGCTCAACGCCGTGCAGGTCTCCTCCCACAATCTTGAAAATGTCAGTTTTATCCTAAATGCCCATAGTCTGCTAGACAATTTGCTTCCCTTGCCCCCACAAAGGTGTTTAAAATCCCTTCTACTATGCAAAAGTTTCGATCATTCAAAATATTGCCATATACTCACCATCTCCTTGCAAAATGATCAATATTTTGCCTATCTTGTTTTATCTATCCTACCCCTTGTTTTTTAAAGCAAACCTGAAACATGTCACCTCGTCAGTAAACACACAATAACACACCCCTCCCCCCAAAACACAGACACACAACTGTACAGTGTCTCTCACGTGAGAAGTAGCCTGCGGCACCCCCAGTCCTGCTAAGGGTTACCTCTCCAATATCTCCCTGCACCACTCGAATAGGATCAATCAGGATGTCTCGGGCCAATTTTTCAATCTTCTTCCGAAAAGTTGCACTGAATAATAGAGCTAAGAGGTAAAATAAATTCTGTTAAACAATATGACTTCTTTTCTGAATACCCACCAAGCTTCCTACTGACATTCAGAACTATTGTTTTGTTTTTTTAAAATAAACTAACCTGAACTTTAAATTTAGTTAAAAAACTGATTTACTAAGGAGAAAGATTTGCAAGTGTTCTATTTCCATAAATTTTCAGACATGGTCTGTCATTATGGGTCAGGACAAGGCTCCTGACTTCATAGCAGCAGATCTGCACTAAGCATTAATGTCTACCCACTGATAAAAGTGCGGAAGTTGGGGCAGGTCATTTAACTCTTAGTCTTGGTTTTATCATCTACAAAAGTGAGCAAACTATAACTGTCGATCTCTAGTGCCCTGTCCAGCTCAGATAAACTATCGTTCTCTCCCTCTTAATGGTTTTCACAAGTAGAGAATATGATCATTCTTGCTGCCACAACTGTGGGTGCTTATAAACAGGTATTTATTCTGAGTACAAATGTGACTGAGTAAAACTGCTTCATACATACTCTGTCTGTCTGGACGGACATGACTTGCTATGGATCGCACCTGGTACTCTGGAAGAAGGAGAAAAGTAGAATCAGTAAGCTAACTCTGCATTACCATTTAGATGCCTGGAAAAAATAATTTTAATTAATATTATTTCAAAAGTTATAGGAATAAAGGAAAATCTGCATCTCTGAGATTTGTATCATTCAGTGTGAAATTCAGAAAAACTTTTCTCCCCCTCCGCTGGACTGAGCCTGACAGACTACACTCAATAGACTATTCAGCAAGATTTTCACAGAGCTATATAAGGAAAAGAAAGCAAAGGCCTTGGGTAAGACATTCACCTACCAAGAACAAAGATCTTTACCTCTGCGAAGGTTTATGAATAAAAATAATGTATAAATATACTATGGCACTTCCAAATAGCCTCAAACCAAACCTTTTCCTGAAAGAACTAAAGTAATTAATATCTTAGTTAAGTCACTACAGTCTAACCTGAATGTTATTAAGGATTATTTTGAGCTTCTCTCATGCAGAGAAAGTTTGTAAGTCCAGAAAGACACAGAAAAAACTATGTTCATGAGGACAGAGACAGAGGAAACCGATATACAGAGCGTACCAAATCCCATGTCAAACATTCGATCTGCTTCATCAAACACAAGGTAAGAGACTCGTTGAAGATTGGTAGCTTTCTTCTTTACGTGATCGATCAGTCGACCCTGAGATCCAGAAAATGAACAGTAAATATAAGACATGTCTAAGAACTTCCAGAACTGTGCTCCTGGCAAAAGTGTTCATACTTTAGTCTTAAGACTATTAACAGGTACTGGGTCTGATAGGCTTAAGAGACCAGAAATACAAAAACTCTAGTCTGAGTTTTCTTTAACATTAATTGTGACTTAAATTGTGGGAAAATTTAATTCTTCTTGTAAAGTATTCTGTAATGACCTAATTGTAAGTCTTATTGGTAGGTTACACTGTTTAGATAATACTTTCTAAGGCATTTCTGACCATATTCTGAGTACCTTTGATTCCAGATACTCTCAATAACCATGGATCCATTTGTTAGAAGAGCATTAGAAAAACTTTGTAGAGGGAAATTTGTAGCTATTAGTATTTATGTCTGAGAATTTTAGTGGACTGCTATTTTATTCAACTAATCAAACTTAAACCAAAACCATAGGCTATCATTCATCAGATTCTTATCAATTTTGCTTTATGCATTCTACCTAACAACTAACCACCTTTCCATACCATCAGAGGTTGAGAAGTCATTTAAACCCAAGATATACTTACTGGGGTACACACAACAATCTCTGCCCCTTCCTGAAGGGCCTTGGCCTGCTCCCACATGCTCCCTCCTCCATACACGGCCACTGATCGAAGATTATATGCTTTCCCAAATCGCTTACATTCTGCATGGATCTACAAAGTTGTTAATGACATGTTAACAAACTGTGACACTAACAAATAGCCCTATTCCCGCCCAAAAGAGTTCTGAAAACAGGCTGTGGAGACATGAAGCTAGAAAATGCTTCAAAATCACAATTTCATAGAGTAAATGAGTCACAGACTAGCATCATGCATTTAACAGGCTATCTCAATTTGGTCTGAATACATTTTTTTTTTTTATATGTTTCTTGACTTATTCATGATACAGAACGGGGGTACAGGCCAGAGGTGCAGGAGTGGTAAGAGTATTCACCAAAGGCAGAGTGGGGAGCAGAACAGGCCGACTGATGAGGTACACTGCTGAGGGGAGCAGTGGGTGGATCAGGAGAGGTCTGCCACACCATGTGGATCACCTCCAGGGGAGGCAGGGATAGAACTCATACTTAAGTAGCTTTAGCTTCTTAGTGCTGTGCTTTAACCTGCTGCGTCACCAGGGAGGGCCCTGTCATAACCTTTTTAACAAGCCAAACTATCCAAGGAAGAAAGTACCGGAAGCTTACAATACAATTTTCACATAACATTTTTCCCCTCTTAAAACAGTAGTTTTTAGGGGAAAGTATGTAACTTGCTATATAGGAAATATATAACATGTTTTATTTTCCAAGTTTTGTGGTAGCACAACAGTGTGAATATATTCAATGACAATGGACTATATACTAAAAAGTGGTGAAAATAACAAATTTCATGTGTATTTTACTACAACATAAAAAAAATCCTGTTAATTCTAACTTACTGGGAAGGCTAAGCCCTTGCTAGTTCACACAGGAAGGCAGCATTCCACACAGGGCACATACCTGCTGGCACAGCTCCCTGGTAGGACACACAATCACTGCAATTGGTCCATCCCCTGGTTCCAATTCCTTCTGGTCCATTATATGAATCAACATAGGCCAGATAAAGGCTGCAGTTTTTCCACTGCCTGTTTTGGCAATGCCAATCATATCTCTACCACTTAATGCCACAGGTACACCCTGAGGGAACAAAATAAATTACAGCCACTCTAAACTGACAATTTTAAGATATATTAAGGGAAATTCTGGGGAAGTATAAAACAATAATGATATTTATTTCCAGTGGAAAAAATATCATGGGTTATGGACACTGCTTATGCGCTAAGAACTACCTAGCATTCCTCTAACCTTAACTTATAACAATTTATTCTCTTCATGTGGATCAGCCACAATTTACAACATACAGTTGACTCCATTTTGCCTGAAATATAGAAATGAAAATTTGTGACATATAATGTAAGTGGGCTACTAAAAAATTCTGTCCTTTGAGAAAGGGGATATATACCAAAAATTCTTTTTCTGTGTAGCAATGAATAACTATTCTAGTGAAAGAGAAACAGAAGCTATTACTTTCACTTAACAATGAAAAAATTCAGATCATGGACAAATGAATCTTAGCCACTGATCGTGCTAAATTTGCACACACTCAGAAATTTAAGTTAAAGCCTAATAAACAATTTTTTTCAGAACATATTCTCAAGATATACCAAAGAACATTTCCCAACCCCTCAGCAACTTCTTAAAGTGGTAAATAATTCACTCTTGCTCTACTAAAGGTTTCAAAAATACTTTTGGGTTACACATGCCTGCCTTGTTTATCTAAATTAAAGCAAAAGTTGCAGACTAAACCACAGAGGAAATATCTGGACATCCATCTATGCTAACAGAATTCTGTACTAAACAATGAATTACTGCTTTGACTTGTTTGTAAAATTAATTTATTCAATGACTATCATTCTATTTTTTTTTTCTACGTACATGTTTACTTACCTGGCACTGTATTGGAGTGGGCTGTGTGTACTCAGATTTCCGAATCTGGTGCATAAGTTGTTCATCGAATCCAAAATGAGCAAAACTACTTCCTGGTCTAGGAGGTGCAGCACCAGAGACCTAAAGATAAAGATAACTCCCAGGAATGACTTACACTTCAAAATAAATTACATCAGAAATAAATCAGTGTTACCTTAATCTAGCATTTATCTTGATTATGAACTGGAAATACAAGACTGTAGTCAAAAGTAAAAACTGTTTGAAAGGTAAATTAATATTAAATATAATAAAACTATGTAATAAATATCCCAGATAACTGACATGTAGTAAAATACTTTTAGACTGTCATTTTGCATATCTATTAACCAACGGTAGGAGAAAATAAAATGAAGAGTGCAAATGAGTTTTCAAAAGACATGTTTGTACCTACTAGTTACAAAGGTATGATCTACCATCTCCATTTTCAGTTATGCCTGAAGAGTTAATGTCTCACGTACAGAAGGTCCAGCCAGTTATCAAGCACTGCTCTAACCATTCCAGATGAAGAATAGGGCTTATACCCACGCTGACCTCAACAGGAGTGACCTTTCAATGCGTCTCTGATAATGCTGATGTGGTTATTTCCATGAGAATTTCACTTAAAATGGAGTTTTTTTTTTTTGGAAGTGTAAAAGGTTGGAGGACCACTTCAAAAAGAACAAAGTTCATGCATACACCTCTCTCTCAGAAAACAAGAGTTCAAACAAACATCACGTCACTACTAGCAAGGGAGATGTAGGCCAAACGGGTGTCAGACAAGAGCAGATGCCACCATGTTATTTGTGTATTTCAGTTAACTAACATTCAGCAGCACCCTAGATAATATGGCCAATGTGAACCCAACTTTCTGGTAGAAAATTAAAACTATTACTCTGAAATTAGTACATACACATTTTCAAATGGTGCTAATACTTCCAACTCAAAGAACTGCGCTGTATATAATTTGAGCCAGGAATCTTAATTTCAAAATACTCTAAGACTTTGTATACTGTTTACACTAATCTTATTTCCTTCTCCTGAAGAAGTGGACTCCTACCCATCACCTTTAGACCACCCATTGTAGTTTTAAACAGAGTGTACTCTTCAGAAATGCTGCTAAATTATTTTAAGGTTACAACAATATACTGTTCCAACAAAACAAACAAAGTTGGCAGGATGCACATAATGTTAATGTATGTTACATGAAAGAAAAACTCCTATCCTTAAAGAGTTGGAAGACTAAGTAAAAATCAAGAAGACACATGTACACAAGGGATACAATTATTACTATATCAGAAACAGTTCAGGGATTATTTGAAAAGAAATTCAAAGGTCATTTTAATTTGGGTAAATAATAATAATAACACTCTAGAATAATTAACATTAACATAAGGATATTTGGCATCATGGTTTTCTTACCCGAAGATTGAGTTTATGCCGGAGATCTATTAGCTGTTGTGGGGTGAGGTTGGTTATCTCTTCATGCTCATTGTAAAAATTTTTTTCAAATGGTGGGTAATCAATCTGCAGGTCCAATTATTCAAAGTTAGTCTAGAATTCAAGATTCAATCCTGTAAGTTTGATTTTAATGCAACATACCTTTACAAATATTATACAAGTAAAGCCATAGCCAGCTCAAGAGAACAAAGAAATTCACTTATTTATGACACACATTCCCCTAAAAGTTCAGCCTGCAGCACTGTGGCATAGTGGTGAGCACAGTGACTTCCAAAGATACCACCAATATCTTTTTTAAAATCACATTTTCAATATAAATACTGACCTAGTCCATGGAGGTTCTTTTTTTTTTTAAGATTTATTTATTGTGCATACTGGGGTACAGGCCAGAGGCTCAGGGGCGGTGAGAGGCTTCACCAAAGACAGAGTGGGGAAAAGAACAGGCAGATCGACGAAGTACACTGCTGAGGGGAGCAGCTGGCGGGTCAGGAGAGGTCTGCCACGCCATGTGGTCACCTCCGGGGCAGGTGGGAATCGAACTCTTGAGGCAGCGGCTTTAGATTCTCAGTGCTGTGCTTTAACCCGCTGTGCCACCAGGGAGGGCCAGAGATTCTTAAGGGCACCTAAGATTTGAACAACCTTGACACAGACTAAGAAATTCTTATAATGCTAAAGGCCTTGGGGAATAAGTATTTTAATGAAGATATTCTACTCTGTAATATTTTAATGTGTTTTTGGAATAACTTCCTCGTCTAGCTTTAAGCATTTTATTTACTTTGAAAGCTTTTGTTTATTTTTACATAGAAGAACTGGGATAGGCTAGAGGTGGGAGGGTGAGAGGATTCACCAGAAATAATGGGGAGCAGAACAGGAAGCTTTACTGAAATACACTGCTGAGGGCATCAGTGGGTGAGACAGAAGAGTCTGCTGTACCATATGTGGGTCACCTCCCTGGCGAGGGATTGAATTCAGGGTGTAGTGGTGATAGCACTGAATCTTAACCCCTAGGCCTCCCTGGCAATAAACTTTTCAATGGTTTTCCGTCACTAATTTTTTTTTCAAGTGAAGATAGCATTTCATTAAGACACACACACACACAAATCCCAGCTAGCAACACCTCAAGGCATCTCTTTGATACAACTATCATATTTTGGTATACAACAGGAATGCTTGTTCTTACTTCCCATACTGACACACAGAATAAAATGACACATAAATGTTAGGAGTCAAGATATAATAAATAATTTTTACTAATTTTTTAAGAATATCAATGATATTCTTAAGTGAAGCTGGATTTCTCCCCCCGCACCCCCCTAACTAATGTTCTGGCAAGGAAGAACAATGACTACTGCCTAGATTCAGCTAAGGCATCAGCAGTTTCACCCATGACAGCCTTTAGCTTTTGATACAAATGCTTATGCAGTGAAAAAGGTAAATTAATGTTTTATTAAGATTTATTTATTTATGCATACAAGAAATGGGGTATAGGCCAGAGGTGTGTGTGTGGGGGGAGGGTGCTGGTGGTGAAAGGATTCACCAGGGACAGAGTGGGGAGCAAAACAGACAGAAATACACTGCTAAGGGGAGCAACGGGTGGGATAGGAAAGGTCTGTCATGCCATGCGGGGACTGAACACGTGCTGCAGTGGCTGTGGATAGCTTTACAGTGCTGCACTCTAACCTGTTGCATGACCAGGGAGGGCCCATAATCTTATTATTATGAAAGCATCTTTTGACTTTGTATACTTCCTGAAAAGATCCTTCCAGAAACACCTGGAACACACTTTAAAATCCACTGCTCTCGTCTAGAATCAGTAGGATATGCAAGATGTAGTCTGGTATTTAACTTGGATGAAACACTGATTTTTTTTTTTTTTTCCCAAGCAGGTATACAGATAGTCTCATTCCCTTTTTTGGATTCAAGGAACACATAGTTACTGGTTCCCCTATGAAGGAAAAGCTGCTCATATGCCCTAGATCTGGGAAAAACAGTTAAGATTGTAAGCATTTAAAAAACAGGCTCTAAAACCCACTTTAGAAAGAAGACGGTAAGTGATAGTCTGGAAAACAGTATAGTTGCTTGAAAAAAACCTCTTAGCCTAAAATCAGGATTGAGCAATTGATTCAACTGTTTCTTAAATAGCAATATAAGCAAAGGGTTCCTTGTGGAACCATCCATGAAATTTCTGACACCTCTACCTAGCAGACATGACAAGATCCCAAGGAACAAATATCCTCATGACACAGATGTATAAACCAGGACTAGTCAGATATAGGAAAAGCCTAGTACACACTAAAGAAAAAAAATAAAACAAGAATCAAGACTCAAATACATCTAGAAACAACATACCTCTGAGTGATCAATGGGAGGAAGAGGGTCAATGATTTTCTTCGAAGGTGCAATTGGATTTCCATCACTATCATATTCCAAATTATCTTCCTCCTCCTCTTGAACCACACCAGCAGTAGGGTTTTCTGCCATGTACCGAAAATAAGCTTCCTGCAGGAAAGCACAAGAACACAATCATACCCAAGTACAACTAAGAACACTCTGTTCCTGTAATTAGTGCAGTATACCAGACGATTACAGTTTAATACCTACCAAGCAAGGCAAGACTTTTACTAGCAATGATTCCTTTAACATTAGCAGTGTTCAGGAGGACAAAAGATGAGACAGTTACTACTATAAAATGATTTAAGACTTACAGATCAGTCTGTTCCACCACCTTCCTGGGATGGGGTATCTACCTACCCTGCCCAGAGCTGTGGAACATATGCTGTGGTTCTACTAATCCAAGTTTGGAATTTGACACTCTTTAGAAAGGTCACAAACCTGGAAGGGGCTATTGCTCACTCTGGTTCCCTTCTCACCATCCCATAACTGAACAATAGAAAAAAAAAAAAAAACTAAAGGACAGTCATTAAATCAAAGTTCCACCTTGAGATACAAGAATCACAAAACAAAACCCTTGGAAAAAGTTATAGATGCTGCCATAGGCCATCAGTAGACTCAAACTACTTGAAGTTTGTATAAGTTTGTTTCAAATAAGTATTAATTTGGATTAAAAAAAATCAAGTTGGATAAGGCTTACACTTGCTTTTGGTATCATAGTTGATCAAAAGTTCCATTTTCAACATGGGAGGAAGCCATGTGAATCTTTGTATACCAACTGGTCACAAATGAAAGAAAATAACAAATGACATTCCCTGCTGAATGTTAGGAATGGCCATTTCACTACAGGCACGCTCTAGCTTGTCCCCGGTATAGATTTGTGTGGTAAAAATAAAAGATAGAAATACTGCATAGGAACTCACTTGGTCATCTTCCTCTTCAATGTCATCTCGAATACCCCTGGAAAAACAAGCGGAGAAACAAACTTCCCTGCAAATGTTCCACATACCCAGCTCCACACTTATATAACAGATTAGTGTTGAAGTCCATACAGTGCAGGAACACTCAACACTAATAACAGCAAAGCAGCAATAAGCACACGTTTAACTATCCACCCATCATGTGTGCTTTCACTCTATAAGCTGCAGTTTGTGTTTCTCTTGAATGGGATGATATGGTACTCCTAAAAGCATCCATTATTAACAAGGGCATACGGAATAAAAACATTTGAAGGAGATATTCAAGGATCCTTGCCTTGTCAACCCCATACAACAAACACAATGCAGTTGTGAAAACCATTTTATACTAAAAGAAAAAAATCCTTCACTTGGCACATCCTAGTAAGAATGTTACAACTTTCTTAATGTCCTTCAGTTTCTAGCACAGCAGTGACTGTTTTCAGTCAAAATCCTTGGTGAGAGAAACCACCTCAACTCTTTTGTAAATTTGGGGCTAAAATTCCAGAGCATTTTACATGGAGAAGGGAATAATCACCACTAACTACTGTCTCTCTCAGGAGCTCTAGAAAGTATGGCTGTATAGTTCTCATACCATCTCTTTCTAATTAGACTTTCTGCCCAACCTAGAGTACTTGCTTCTCCTAATACAACCAGCAAGAAACACCACTAGTGTAGGGCAAGTAGAAGAACTGAAGAGAAGGCTGAATCTTGGGGCTGAGAAGGTCTGAATGAAGCACTAACTGCTAAACAGGAGGAGGAAAAACTCCAATCACACCTACTTGGTACCTGGCAGAGCTAAGAGGAGTGTTATTCATTCATAATCAGCAAGGGAAAGAGTAGAAGTCTCTTTTTCAGAAAATAAAGTATATCAAGTTCTGATTGTAGTTGCTAAAACATGGACACTCCTTAAATAAATAAATTAGGTTATTTATTACTAATATTAGTTTTTATGATACAATCACCATTACTGCTCATACCCAGTTACAGAGGTGTTAATCTATTTTTTGTATTAATTATGGAGCAAAGTTCAAAACAATGAGCCCAAGCTTTAACGCCTATAGCTCATTATTGCATTTATTTAAAAACTGCTTTTTAAAGAGAATACCAGAGCTATCCTACCAAAAAGAACACAAATCATTGCAAATGCAAAGACTCTTATTATCTCTACTAACCTACAAAAATATTTATGATACTGGAATAATTTCAAGTCAAGACGTTTGTGAATTTTTTCTCTATAAACCTTGGGGATATAGGCTTTGCAATACATGAACAATTTTCACATAACCTTTGTGAAGGAGAAGAAAATAACTTACTTTACGTTTTTTCTTTCTTTGTCCTTTTCTTCAAGTCTCTTCATGTCTCTAGCCGCCTGATCCTAATGAAACAAAGGCTATATGGAGTCATCAACTAAAAACACTAAAAGAGAAATTTCCTTATGAAGAGGGTTTCAGATTTAAATAAGCACTACCACGGCTAGTTATACATTTAACAACTGCATAGTCATTTTCCCAAGAGAACTACACAAATGTTCTAAAAATCTGACTACCCATGGAAGCATGACTTCTACCTGCTATATACCATGTATGGAAAATTAGCAAAAATGGTTGACTGATAACCTTTTAAAACAATTTCACAATGAAATTACCAAAGAGGCTAGTAAAAAAAATTCTGATTTCTGGATCTGACTCTGAACATGTAGATCTCAATCAGAAGTGATTTGTTCCTAGTGAGCAAATGTGTGGAAACATTTTGGTATTACAGTTTGGGGAGGACTGTCACTAGTGTCTGGTGAGTGGAGGCCACAGAGGCACCCAGACATCCCAGGATCCACAGGACAGCCTTCACAGCAAGGAATTACTGAGCCCTAAACAAGAAAGTCTTGAGGTTGAAAACACTGCTCTAAATTACTCAATAAGAAACCTTGTTGAAGTTATTAAAGGCATAGTTTTTACATTTTTCATAGGCACTTCTTACTTATATAAAGTAAAAACTGCTAGTTACTGAATTAAATTAATTCTGTTTTATACATCTGAAAATCAAGTAACTTTGAGTGATTTTCCCCTTGGTTAAATCTCATTCTATGCAACCGTTTCTTGTCATAAAACAACTTAAGTTTTTCTGTTTTCTTTAATTAACAAATTGTCACTATATACTACCTGGCATGGTCAGATGTTCTAATTAAATACTCATAAAGGAACTATTATAAACATAAATATTACATATAATCTTTTTTCTAAGGGACTGTGTCAGATAATGATATTTGGATATCACAAACTCTCATACATCTTTTTAAACCTTTACCTAGCTCAAGCACTAGAAAAATCTACATTTTCTAGAAAATGTACTTACACTTTCTTACTTACACCTTGATATCAGAGACTAATAATATTTTGGTAACAACAGTTTCCAAAATCCAACAATATCTAACCTCTCTGTTCTAAAAATCAGTAAAACCTCTTGATAGTACACCAGAAGAATGATACTACATACCAAAAAAGATTTAACCTCCAAACAACTTCACCTTCCTGAAATACCAAGCAAGAGAATTCATTCTCAAGTATTGTCACTCAAAAAGGGTTAAGCTAGCTTACACTACCAAAAATTAAGTCTAAATTTAAACCTATAAAACCAAAAGCTGACCTTTCTTTTCATTAATCACTATGGAAACACAGCCCTTTGGGAAATGTCCACACCTCAAGATGGAAAAAAAAAGTAATGTGAAGACATCTCAAACAGAACAATGGCTTAGTGCCCTTACTCTAGAATCATTTAAGATATTCACTAAATATCTACCATAGTGAAAAGGCACATAAATGTGCTGAATAGCTCTGATTAAGCATTAAGGCAGAAACACAGTGTTACCAAACTCAGATACAGACTGATATAGCAAAAGCAAAACAAAACAAAAACATGGGATTTGGAGTTGAATATTCACTCTACTACTGTTAGTATATTTTTCCAGCAAGAAACTTGAGTTAGTCTAATCAAAGTTGGGAAATTTAAAAAGCTAGTGGCTGCCAATCTGCAGTACATGGAAGAAGTGAGTCAAAATAAAAAAAAATTGTTTTGCACGCTTTGCTTGCATTTTAGTTCTGAATATTCTTGCTAGTAAGAATATTCTGGTAAAAATAGACGTGTTCTAATTTTTCTCATACCACATAGTCCTGAGTCCTTTTTTCCTGCTATTTGATAAGAGATCAGAGTTCAGAAAATTATTTCTCTATGGTTAAAAAACAAACTATAATGCCAAGTGTAATGATTAGCGGTGCTAAAAGGTGGCGTCACTGTCAAGACAGTAGGGATTGATGGTGTTATGGCGAACACCAAAAGGCATACCTTGCCCAAAGCAGATAACCATGTAGGAGTGCAGGTTTAGTATCACTAATCTTCCGTTTATCAAATGTCTAAGCTTTTAGATTAAAATATGAATTAAAAATGGGGCCTCACATTTAAAAAAAATCTTTAGACCAAACAGAAACACACCCACATTGAATTCTTTCTTCCCCACTTGTTCAGAAAAGAGATGAATTCTGGCTGTCTACTTCAGAAAGCTGGTAAATGAGGAATCTGGAAGGACTTTCATAAGCAATAAAGTAACAGTTTTTGAACAAGAGGTATACATGATCAAAAACAAGCTTATATTACCCTACAGCTATATACCACATAAAACATGCTTTACTTTCTCTATTGCTGTGTACCATACATATATATGGGGGAGCAGTCTATGAGAAAACTTAGACTAGGCAAAAATTAATGAGGGTATAAAATCAGCATTACTAAAGTGGAAGAAAAAAATAAAAGAATAGATAAAAGATATTGTTAAAACTGACAGAACTTGGCAAAAGACAAGAGGACAGGCCACATATATACTAGAAAGAACTAGGGCCTAGAGAAGATAAGACTGGATTTGAACTACCAGTTCTGCCATAGTACCAATGTGACTGGGGGTCTGGGAGTTCTGCTAGAGTTCAGTTTCCCTATGAGTTACAAAAAATTAATTTATATATAAATTTTCTGCCTACTCCCCACTATTCTTCTGAGGGCTAAACGAAATAAACTGTAAATATGCTTACTTGTCTGCTAAGAAGAAAACGTGTGTGGAAGGGAACAAGTGATGATAACTTAAGGTAACTGTGTTTTAGTACTGGTGGCATGAAGGGGAAATAAAAGATGAGGTTGAGGAGGATAGATGATGAATTGAACTGAATGTGTGAGAGGAACACAGCCATGAAAAACATCCAATAGGCTTCTAGAACAAGAGAACTAAAATCAAAGACAGTATGAAACTAAAGTCATGAATTATTCACACAGAAGTTAAAAAAGATCACTAAGGAATATACAAAGAGCAAAGATAGCAATTCAATATAGGGAATTATAAAAGAATGGTCATATGTGAAAAAGTAGAAAAGGATCATAAAAATGATAGGTACTAGAAAATGTTATGTGGTTTGTTTTGTTTTTGGTACAAAAATGATATATGGTAGTTAGCTTACAGAGTTACCTTACAGAAATACTGATGGACAAAATGTTATATCTGGATTTACTTTAAAATAATCTAAAACGGGATTGGCCTAAAATGTTAACTGATAAAGTATGGAATAGGGCTCATGGAGTTCATTTTATTCTTCTACTTTATGTGTGCTTAAATTTTTAAGTGACTAGAGTAAGAAATGCCAAAGATGTGAGAAAAGGGAAAAAATGCAAAATCATGAGTCTAGAGAGAAGAGTTTCAAGAAGAAAGTGGCCACAAGTATCACTGTCTACAGGAAGGTCGCACATATAGATGATAATGCTGATATAAGAAATAAACAGTAGTTTTATAGTAGTTGTGGCCGAGTGGTGAAGGCGATGGACTGTAGAGTACAAGAGCAAAATTCTCAAAAAAATGGCAAAAAGCAAATTCACAATGAAGACTGAAGCACTGGGTTAATATATATTTTTGATTGCTATAAATGTTAATGAAACAAAAAGTTGATACATGCCTCCACCTCAGCCATGAAAGCTTCCAAGGGATCATCATCACTGTCAGAATCGATCGGTTTCGAATGGAATTGCTGGCGGGTAGGTGAGTTTTCAGCAGGAATGTAAGGTAAATCAACATTGCTAGAGTCTTCTTCCTCATCTTCAAAATACCTAAAAATTAAGATGCAGATTGGAAAAGTGTATATTTACTAGACTGAAATCAGTGATTCTTTCATTTACCAGAAAATTGTATTAGTGTGTCTTCTATTAAGAGATTTAAACTGCAAATTAAGAGACCTCTAGATTGTGGTCATGTTAAAGACCTCTAGGCTATGCTTAGGGACTTAATTTATTAAGTATAATCTAATACATACAAAATTCTAATATTGCAACAAAGTAATCACAGCAGACTCCCCATTTCAAGAGTGCTTGTTAAATCACATTTTTCAATTTGTTAAAAAGGATGAGTTTTCAGGCCCTTCCTGGTGGTACAGTGGGTTAAAGCACAACACTACAAAGCTACCACAGCCACTGCAACATGAGTTTGATCCCTGGTCAGGGAGGTGACCCCAGATAGTGGGTCCTGACCTGCCTGCTGCTGCCCCTGAGCAGTATATTTCAGTCAGTTTGCCTGTTTTGCTCCCCACTCTGTCTCTGGTGAAGCCTTTCACTTCTGCACCTCTTGCCTGAACCCCAATTCTATATGCATAAATAAATAAATCTTTAAAAAAAAAATCATTGGTAAATGTTTCTGGAGAACCAGGGGCAAAAATTCAACATTTTCCTACCACTGTAAGATGTTACAACATGTGGTTCCCCACTGACCCTCTCCTGTCTCCTTCACTGCCCCCCTCAGCAGTGTATTTCAGTCAATACACCTGCTTTGCTCCCCAATCTGTCCCTAGTGAATCCTCTTACCTCTTGCCACCAACCCCATGTCCACAATTCTGGCCTATATCCCAGTTCTTTCACACAAAATAAATATACATTAAAAAAATAAACTTCAGATGTTATAGCATGATATGTTTTACTCAGGAGATGATACAGTTCCTGCAATTGCCTGTGTTTACAAAATTTACAAGTTATCAACAAAAAATTTCAGTGAAGACTACCAAAAACCAGTTGAATTTTTTAAAAATTCATCAATCATATTTAGTTTCTGTGATTTCAAGTCCTTTTTGGAATAAGTAAAGATATAAATAAGCAGATAAATACTACATTCATTACAACTGACAACTTGTAAGGCAAACTGCATTTCAATGAGTTAAGCAATTTATGAAGTCATTATTATTTTAGAAATAAATGGTTTCTTTGTCCCAATTTCTATTGCTGGAAGACTATCTCAAAGTCCTAACTTTCATAAATTGGGAGAAATTACCACTTACGCATTTTCTTCATCAAAGTTGGCCCGTTTAGATCCAATTTTATAGAAAGAAGGGAGCTGTGGTGGAGCTGATTTTCCAAATCCAGAAGAAGAGCTGGTTGCCCCAAAGGCACTATGGGATTGCTGAGGAAGTTTTGGTTCTTCCTTCTTCCCAGCACTAATGGCAAAACCTCCAAAGCCAAATCCTCGCTTAGTGCCAGGGCCACCTTTATTCCAGTTCATGGTGTCAGTGACTAATCTATATGGAACAAGGCAGAATAATATAAATTTATTAAAAACCCACTAATTTTTTTTTATCTTTCAAGCTCTATGAACAAGTCTATTTTCAACTTTTGCTTTGCATATGCTAATAATCTCAACAAAATGACCGGATTTACTAAATTACTAAAACACTGAAGAAATTATTATAGGGATCTCAATCTCAACAGATACACAGTATTTAATATCCCCGTCAAAAGGATTTGATTACTAATTTAACATCTTACTAAGTGTCAAAAACATTCATAAAGCTACAAATATTTTGAGGCCTGATATGTCCTAGGCTTGTGTTAGGTAGTTGAAGATGCAAGAGGACAAGACTCTTTATCTTTGCCCTCAAGGGATTTACATCTACTAGGAAAATAGGTCAAAACAAAAACAAAACACACACACACAAGAGACAAAAGCAAACTATGATTTTAACATAATGTAATGGTTGCCAAAACAGAGGCTGAGATGCTATTATCACCTGAGCCTAAAACTAAAGATTATCCTCTGGTAGTGACAACTGAAGAATCAAACCGAAGTTTAGAATCAAACCTAAACTTTAAAAAGTGCATCTATCTGAGGACTCCCTGGAAGCACAAGTTAAAATCAGCACTATGAAGCTATCCTCAGATATGAAGCACGAGTTAGATCCCTGGCCAGGGAGGTGATCCACATGGCACAGCAGACCTCTCCTGTCCCACCTGCTGCTCCCGTCAGCAGTGTATTTCAGTGGAACCACCTGCTCCCCACTCTGTCTCTGGTGAATCCTCTCACACGCTGCACTTCTGGCCTGTACTCCAGTTCTTGTATGCATAAATAAAAAAATCTTTTAAAAAATATACATCTATCAGTATAAAGTATCTATGTAATTGCTTTAAAGGTTATTCATGAACCACACCGTTAATAAATTTCCCACTGGAGCACAATCCAAAAAGAAATCAAGATTCATTGTTAAGTTGCCTGAAATATTAACTTGGCCTACAGTTAAGGATCATAAAGAAATTGCCTAAGATCTGATAAAATCAGTTTAAAAAGTGTCTCAACTCAAAAAAAAAATCTTTTATTCAACTATACAAGTTACCTAGAATTCTCACCCAGATATATTTTGTTTATATCTTTTGCTACTTTTCCTGTGTGCACACACACACAATTTTTAAAAACTGAAAGCGTGCTATACATATTTGGCTACTGATTTCTTCACTTAATAATATACTATGAACACCTTTAAATGTAAAAAAAAAATTATTCAGTAAATTTATATAATGTTGTAAAACATAGCTATAGCTTTGTGTATTCCCTTAATTTCCTAAGGACCAATGTTTAATGCAATTACTTAAACAAAAGAAAGTGTATTTTAAGTTTTAAGCTTTTTAATTATAATTTATACTTATGGAAAAGTGTCCCATTACATACTGAATAAAATTAAAGACATAAAACAAGATACTATGTATCAATCAGTATATGTAGAGACAGCTGGAGATCTGCCTATGAAGATGAAGTCTGATTTTTACTTTTGCCTTTGTATTAAAGTTTCCCATTAATAAGGGAAATTAAAATGTTTATAAGGTACTCTGAAGCCAATACAGAAAAAAAGACCTAAAAACTGTTTTGTTTTGTTTTGTTTGTTTTGGTGTTTTAAAAAGCAATGACATTATTAACAAAAATAGAACTATTTTTAGGCTTCTATCTTCCTCCCCATCTATACCTTCTAGGTTTTGTGTGAAATGCTATTATATAGCCCTGACTTCTGTCTATTCACTGTATTAAATTTGATTTATGCTATATCAATCTCCACTCTTTGGCTGCCCACAATACCAGGTATTTAAATACTAAGTTCAAATCCCAGGTAGGGACTGTCTTTACTCATGTAGGACCTTTTATAAAAGTTGAGCATGACTAAGATAATTATATACTTAATAAATACCAGTTTACCAGAACTTAAGATCATCTCCTGTTTTCTTCAGGAACCCCTTAAAGGATCAAATAATTTTAGAGATGAGATTAAGAAAGAATATTTAAAAGCAACTAAATTTTAGCATCTGATATTGTTTAACCAATCTGTTATTCTGCCTTTTATATAGAAGTTATTCCTAGCAATAAAAATGATGACCCCAGAACCCCAATTTCTTCTGTGCTAAGTCACAGAAGTCAGAAAATAGGCAAAGGAAGGATGGGGATAAACCATTTAAAATTACATAGCTTTTGGCCCTCCCTGGTGGCGCAGCGGGTTAAAGCACAGCATTGAGAATCTGAAGCCACTTCCGCATGAGTTCGATTCCCGCCTGCCGCCTGCCCCGGAGGAGACCACATGGCGAGCCAGACCTCTCCTGACCCGCCCGCTGCTTCCCTCAGCAGTGTACTTCGTAGATCTGCCTGTTCTGCTCCCCACTCTGTCTCTGGTGAAGCCTCTCGCCGCCCCTGAGCCTCTGGCCTGTACCCCAGTTCTGTATGAATAAATAAATAAATCTTTAAAAAAAAAAAAATTACATAGCTTTTTAACCTCCTAGAAGGAAAATTTCAATGGTTTACTCAAAGTTTGCTGAGGAACACAAGGCAGCATGTTGCATGCTAGCTATATAAGATATAATCCCATTTTCAAGGATTTTAAAAAAAAGATTTATTTATTTATGCATATAGAACTGGGGCGCAGGCCAGAGGTGCAGGGGTGGTGAGAGGATTCACCAGAGACAGAGTGGAGAGCAGAATAGGCAGATCGACTAAATACACTGCTGAGGGAAGCTGTGGGCAAGACAGGAGAGGTCTGCCATGTGTTGATCACCTCTGGGGCTGGGGACTGAACTCATCTATCTGAGACTCCCGGGTGGCAGGACTGAACCTGTTGAGGCTCCCTTGCAGTGCTGTGTTTTAACCTGCTAAGCCACCAGGGCGGGCCTCATTTTCAAGGATTTTACAGTGTAGTCTTAACCAGTTTAAAAAAAAAAAACAAAAAAACAAAGATGTAGGGCCCTCCCTGGTGGCACAACAGGTAGCACACCACTATGAAGCTACCAGCAATTAGCAGATACTTCAGCATGAGTTCGATCTCCAGCCAGGGAGGTGACCCACATGGCGCAGCAGACCTCTCCTCTCTTGCCTGCTACTCCCCTCTGCAGGGTACTTCGTCAATCTGCCTGTTCTGCTTCACACTCTGTCTCTGGTGTATCACTGCCCCTGCACCTCTGGGCTTTATCCTAGTTCTGTGTGCATAAATAAATAAATCTTAAAAAAAAAAAAAAGAAAAAAACTGGGACTACAAAAAAATATATTCTAATGAAAGTACTGCACAAAAAACTGGAAATAGTTCAATGCAGCTAGAGTTAAATTTGGAAATTGCAGGAAATGTTCAGAGAGACAGGCAGAGACCAGATGAACGGTTTAGTATTCTATGCTAAGAATATACCATGTACCTCTATATTCTGCCAGTTATAAAGAATCATTATTTTAGGTTTTAAGTAAAAAGAGGACATGTTTCAGAAAAGTATTTGAGGAAGACTAGATAAGAAACAGTAGAAAAAGTTGGAAGCAAGAAAAGAGGTTAGGAGGTCATTATAAAAATACAGACGTAAAGTGACAAGGTGAAATAGGGAGTTTGATCTAAGTTATATAGTATTTATGGAGAAGAATGAATTAGGATGTGTGACAATTAGATGTGGAAAGTAAGGAGGCAGAGTCTAGAATAACTTTGGAGGTTTCTGGTTTTACAGATTAGGTGAATGGTGATGCCACAAAGAGATAGAAACCTTGATAAGCCAGCCTTGGGGAAGCAGGCAGAAGGTGAGATGAGCTACAGAGATCACAAGAAGGGTCTGTAACTGCAGAAAGGGATCTGCAGACAGAGTTTCACTAAGAAAACAAGAAGTAAAGGTACCTTTACTATACCTAACATGTACCTTAGTAAAGGTAAAGCTATAGATTTGATATATGGCATGTGCATTTGATATTATGATATAGGTAAGTTAGAGGGCCCTGAGTAAGGAAAGCGGTTAAGACATATCTTAGGGTACAAGACAATATTTAGAAATGGGTAGGGAAAGATCAATTCACATGGAAACTTAAGAAGAAGAAGGATAGTAAAAAGTAGTAATACAGATTAAGTTTTAGAGGCTCAATGTTAAAAACAAAAGAGAAGTCAGTTCAGAACTGTAAAGGCTCCATTGGATATACAATCAGGAATCAGCAATCAGCTTTAATGGAGCAGAAAAGGCAGAGTTCAGGAGCTCAAGGTAAGTAACTAGTAAAGGGTTAAATAACAGATCAAGAGAAACACACATTACTTTCTAGGACATTTATCAATGACAGGAAGGAAAGAGAGAGGTATCAGCTAGAGAAATTTTGTTACAAAAGAAATGCAAACATGTTTCTATTTCAAAGAGGGTAATCTGAAGATGTAGGATGAGGGGGAAAAAAAATCAAAGAACAAGGCTCCAAGATAACTGAAGCCCTCCTCTGCTTAGGCTATAAAAATTAATTTGCATTTTCTAAACAAATACTGCCTGGAGAAGAAACATCTACTAAATAGCTAATGATATGATCAAAACATAGTAAGAATATTTAAAAATTAACTTTAGTACTGATATTTGTGGATCCGAATCGCTCTCTCTCTAATTCTCTCTCTCTCTCTCTCTCTCTCTCTCTCTCTCGCATATTTCTAAGCCTTTCCTTAGTGATGCCGGGCATATCCTTCCTATCAAACTGATATAAAGTATCTCTGAAACTTCACCTTTGTTTCAAGAAACACCCCTCAAATTGGTGACAAAAACTGGAAGAAAAAAAAAAAAAAGGGTCTCCCTGGTGGGGCAAGGAGCTAAGTAAGTCTCAGCACTATGAAGCTAAAGGCAGCCACTGCAACAAGTGTGATCCCTGGCCAGGGAGCTGACCCACATGGCCCAGCAGACCTTTCCTGTCTCACCCATGGTTCCCCTCAGCAGTGGATTTCAGTGGGTCCACATGTACTGCTCGCCCCTCTGTCTCTGGTAAATCCTCTCACCACCA